TTTTTTTTTTTTTTTTGTAAACAGAAGCAGAGTAACCTTGAAATTTATGCTAGAAAATAAATAGAATTGGGGGCACCTGTATGGCTCAGTCAGTTGAGCATCCGACTCTTGATCTCAGCTTAGGTTTTGATCTCGGGGTCATGAGTTCAGGCCCCATGTTGGGCTCCACGCTGGGTATGGAGCCTACTTAAAAAAATAATAGAATTAGAGTTGCTATTTCTTCAGTTATTTTCCTACCTCTCTTGAAATGCACAAGTGTTTCAAAATATTCTGTAATTTGTGACGGGAATAAAAGAGCTCTCAAGAATGGCCTTGTTTCTCAAGAATGAATCGATTTTGGCCGCTTTAAATGAAGAACTGGCATGTAAATGACATCAAAAGACATAAGAATTAAGTGGATGAGAACTGGAATGATAGTGACTTCCAGTGATTTCTGGAAGAGGAGCTTCAGAGATCCACTTCCCAGCAAAACAACCATAATTGTTTAAAAAAAAAAAATTATTAAAAAAAAGGGAGATGAGAAGATAGCAGAGTAGGAGGGTCTTGAGTTCATTTTGTCCCACAGCCAAACCAAGGCAACAGCTACATGTATTGTACTAACTCTGAAAATGACCGGAAGACTGGCAAACCGCGTCTTCCCAAGCTAGTTGTAGAGGAAAGGCCGTGTCAGCAGTTGGGGACCACTCCCAGCACAACTAACCACAAATGGGAGGGGCGTCACAAACATGGAGGAAGGAGGGAATCAGACCCCACCCCCGGCCCTGGGGACTTGGACTGAGAAGACAAGCCCCTATAACATCTGGCTTTGAAAATCAGCAGTGCTGAAGTCCAGGAGAACCCGAGGATGATAGGAAACTGAGTCCCCACCTTTAAAGAACCAGCATGCTCAGTAACTCGCCAGGAACACAGCAAAGCAGCAGCTCGAAAAGTGCCTAGGGTATACGTGAAAGGGGATTTATTGACTAATTTTAAGACATGTACCAAAGGGGCAGGGATCTGCATAGTTCTCTGGGAACAAAAGTGCTGGCAGGCATTGTTTGTCTTGCCCTTCCCCAGCCTAGATAGATAGCTAGACACTTGGGGGAGCCAGGCTTGACAGTCTCTGTGTAACTTACCAGCAGTGCCTGCCCCTCCCTGACATTCCCCCCCTCCAAAGTAGCTCCTGCCCTGCCACATCCGAAGGCAGCCCTGGCTGGGAAAGGTGTCCTTCTGAAGTGACTCCTGCCCTGAGGGGCAGCGGTGTAAACCACCCCACACACCAGCATGTCTGCAGTTCCTGCATTCAGGCCTCTTAACTGGCTGCACAGGAAGCAAGCCTTACCCGTCAGTGTGCCTGCAGCAGTAGTACAGGCTAATAGCAGCCAGCTGGGCTGAGGGCAAGCCCCACCCACCAGCGGGCTCGTGGTGGCTGCAGCTGACCTCTCAAACCCTGCCCAGTGCACCTGCAGCGGGTTATTGCAGCCAGCTGGGCTGAGGGCCAGCCCCACCCACCAGCATGCCCGAGGCAGTCACAGCTCAGCCACAACAAGAGGACACATGCAGCCCACAAAGGGAAAGCTCTTGGAGTACCTGGTTCTGGTGACTGGGGGGATTGCGCTGTAGGGCACCACAGGACCTCTTCCGCACAAGGCCACTACTTGCAGGACCGGGAGAGACAGCTGACCTACCTAATATAGAGAAACACAGAGTTAGACAAAATGAAGAGACAGAGGAATATATCCCAAATGAAAGATTTTTCCTAATCTGAGGAAGGACATAGACACCCAGGTCCAGCAAGCACAGAAAGCCCCTAAGAAGATGAGCCCAAGCAGGCCACACCAAGACACACAATTAAAATGGCAAAATTAAAGCTAGAGGATTTTAAAACGAGAGAAAATAAAACTGTTACATACAAGGGAAACCCCATAAGGCAGCTGATTTCTCAACAGAAACTTCGCATGCCAAAAGGGAGGAGCATGATCAAGTGGTTAAATGAAAAAACCTACAACAAAGAATACTCTGCCGGGCAAGGTTATCATTCAGAATTGAAGGAGAGAGAAGGAGTTTGTCAAAAAGAAAAGTTAAAAGGAATCCATAACTATTAAACAAGCCTTAAAAGAAATGTTAAGTGGAATTTTTTAAGTGGAAAGAGAAGGCCATAAATAGAAGAAAATTATGACAGGATTGTATCTACAAAAATCAGTAAAGGAATACACAAAAAGTAAAATAGGACATTATGGAGGGGGAGTAAACATTTAGTGCTTTAAAAATGTGTCCAAACTTAAGTGACCATTAGCTTAATATAGAATGCTATATACATACAGTGTTATATATGAATTCCATGGTAACCACAAATCACAAACCTATAATAGATACAAAAAATAATAAAGAGAAAGGAATCTAAGCATAACACTAAAGAAAGCCCTCAAACTACAAGGAAGAGAGCAAGAGAAGGAAAAGAGAACCACAAAAACAACCAGAAAACAAGTAACAAAATGGCAATAAGTATATACCTATCAATAATAACTTTAAATGTAAATGGATTAAATGCTCTAGTCAAAAGAGGGGGACAGAATGGATTATGCTGCCTTAGACCTAAAGATATACAGAGAATGAAAGTGAAGGGATGGAAAAAGATACTCCATGCAAATGGAAGCAAACAAAAGCAACTAGGGTAGCAATACTTTTATCAGACAAAAAAATAGACTATAAACAAAGAGTGTAGCAAGAGACAAGGGCCTTATATAATGATAACAGGATCAATCCAAGAATAAGATATAACAGTTTTGAATGTCTAAGCACCCAACATAGGAGCACCTAAATATATAAAGAAACTAAAGAGATATATGCAGAATATTTCACCTCAAAACACACATTCTTTTCAAGTGCACATGGAACATTGTCCAGGATAAATGTTGGGCTGCAAAACAAATCGTAATAAATTTAAGAAGACTGAAATCCTATCATGCATCTTTCTTGACCACAACAGTGTGAAACTGGAAATCAAGTACAAGGAAAATACTGGAAGAAACAAACAGGTGGAGGCTAACCAACATGCTCTTAAACAAGCAATGGGTCGATGAAGGAAATTTAAAAAAAAAAAAAAAAAAAATACATGGAGGTAAATGAAAATGGAAACACAACAGTCCAAAATCTTCGGGATGCAGCAAAAGCAGTTTTAAGAGGGAAGTTTACAGCGCCACAGGCCTATGTCAAAAGACCACAAAAATCTCAAACTACTAACATCTAAAGGAACTAGAAAAAGAACAAAGCTCAAAGTTAAAAGGAAGGAAATAATAAAGGTAGAAAAGATCAATGAAACCAAGAGCTGGTTTCTTGAAAAGGTAAACAAAATTGATAAACCTTTAGCCAGACTCATTAAGAAAAAAAGAGGTCTCAAATAAGATCAGAAATGAAAGAGGAGAAATAACAACTAACACCACAGAAATACAGAGGATTATAATAATACTGTGAAAAATTATATCCAGCAAATTGTACCTAGGAGAAATGGGTAAATTCCTAGAAACATAGTCTTCCAAAACTGAATGAGAAAGAAATAGAAAATCTGAGCAGACTGATTACTAGTAATGCAATTGAATCAGTAATCAAAAAACGCCCAACAAGCAAAAATCCAGGACCAGATGGCTTCACCTGTGAATTCTGTCAAACATTTAAGAGTTAATACCTGGTCTTTTTAAGCTATTCCAAAAAATACAGGAGGAAGGAAAACTTCCAGATTCATTCCACAAGGCCAGCATTACCCTGATACCAAAACCAGATAAAGACACTACCAAAAAGAAAACTACTGGCCAATATCCCTGATGAACATAAATGCAGAAATCCTTAATAAAATATTAGCAAACCAAATTCAACAATATATTAAAAGGATCATTTACCATAAGTAAGATTTATTCCAGGGATGCAACAATGGTTCTATATTCCCAAATGAATTAATGTGATTAATAAAAGGATAAAAACCATGTGATGATCATCTCATTAGGTGCTGAAAAAGCATTTGACAAAGTAGAACATCCAGTCATGATAAAAAAAATCTCAACAAAGTAGGTTTAGAGGGAACATACCTCAACATAATAAAAACCATATATGAAAAACCCACAGCTAACATTATACTCAGTGGTGAAAACTGAAAACTTTTCCTCTAAGGTCAGGAACAAGACAAGGATGTCTACCCTTACGACTTTTATTCACCATAGTACTGGAAATCATAGCCACAGCAGTCAGACAAGAAATAGAAGATTCCAAATTTGAAAGGAGCAAGTAAAACTTTTACTATTTGAAGATGACATAGTATATATAGAAAACCTGCAAGACTTCACCAAAAAACTATTATAATTCAGTAAATTTATGTAAGTAATAGCCAGAAATTGATAGCATTTCTATACACTAAAAACAATGTAGCAGGAAGAGAAATTAAGAAAACATTTCTATTTAGAATTGTACCAGAAAGGATAAAATACCAAGGAATACATTTAACAAAGTAGGTAAAAGACCTATACTCTGAAAACTGGGACACTGATGAAAGAAATTGAAGATAAACAAATGGAAAGATATAACATGTTCGTGGATTGGAAGAATTAGTATCATTAAAATGTCCACACTACCCAAAGCAATATACAGATTCAATGCAATCCAAATACCAATAGCATTTTTCACAGAATTAGAACAAGTTATCATAAATTGTATGGAACTAAAAAAGATCCCAAATAGACAAAATAATTTTGAGAAAGAGGAACAAAGCTGGAAGTTCACAATCCCAGATTTCAAGATACACTACACAATCAAAATAGTATGGTACTAGCACTAAAATAGTTATATAGATCAATGAAACAGAATACAGAGCCCAGAAATAAATCCACGCTTATATGGCCAGTTACTCTTATGACAAAAGAGGCAAGAGATACATAATGGAGAAAAAGTCTTTTCAACAAATAGTGCTGGGAAAATTAGATAGCTACAGGCAAGAGCATGAAACCGGGCTACTTTCTCTTAGACCCTAGACGAAAATAAACTCAAAACGATTTAAAGACCTAAATGTGATACCTAAAATCTAAAACTCCAAAAGAAAACTTAGGCAGTAATCTCTTGGACTTCAGCATAAGCAACATTTATGGGTATGTCTCCTCAGGCTGGGGAAACCAAAGCAAAAATGAACTTTTGGGACTACATCAAAATAAAGAGGTTGCACAGCAAAGGAAACCATCAACAAAATGAAAAGGCAGTCTGCTGAATGGGAGAATAAGTTTGCAAATGATACATTTGGCAAGGGGTTATTACCCAAAATATATAGAGAACTGACATAACAACAACAAATAAACAATCCAATTAAAAAATTGGCAGATCACCTGAAAAGACATTTTGCTAAAGACGACATTCAGATGGCCAAGAGATACACAAAAAGGTGCTCAAAATCACTAATCATCAGGGAAATTAGAATCAGAACCACAATGAACCTCACACCAGTCAGAATGGCTAATATCAAAAAGAGTAGAAAGAACAGGTGTTGGTGAGGATGTAGAGAAATGGGAACCCTTGTGCACTGTTGGTGGGACTGTAAATTGGTGCAGCCACTGTGGAAAACGGTATGGAGTTTCTCAAAAAATTAAATCTAGAACTACCATATGATCCAGTAACTCCACTACTGGGTATCTGCCCAAAGAAAACAAAAACACTAGTTCAAAAGATATATGCACCCCTGTGTTTGCTGCAGCATTATTAATAGTAGCCAAGATTTGGAAGTAACCTAAGTGTCCATCAACAGATATGAATTGATAAAGAAGATAGAGGTGTGTGGAATATTACATAATGGAATATTACTCAGCCATTAAAAATAAGATCTTGCCATTTGCAGTATCATGGATGGACGTTGAGGGCATTATGCTAAGTGAAATAAGTTAGAGAAAGACAAATACTATATGATTTCACTTATTACATGTGGAATCCAGAAAAAAAAAAAAAAACAACCAGAAACAGGCCTAAATCAGAGAACAAACTGGTAGTTGCCAGAGGGGAGGGTTGTGAGGAATGAACACAATAGGTGGAGGGGATTAAGAGAGAGAAACTTCCAGTTATATAATAAAATCACAGAGATGAGAACTACAGCAAAGATAACATAGTAATGTTTTATGGTGACACATGGTGACTATACACTGTGGTGAGCTACAGAATTGCCAAAACACTGTGTTATACACCTGAAACTAATATAACATTGTATGTCAACTATACTTCAACAGTTTTTTGTGTTTTTTGAGAGCATGAGTAGGGTTAGGGAGGGACAGAGGGAGAGAGAGAAGGAATCCTAAGGGGGAGGCTCCACGCCAGTTGCCCAATTGCAGAGCCCAATGCGGCGTTCAATCTCATGACCCTGAGATCATGACCTGAGCCAAAATCAAGAGCCATAAGCTCAACTGACTGAGCCAGGCAGGCTCCCCTCAACAATAAAAAAATTTTTTTTAAGGTTTTATTTATTTATTTGACACAGAGAGAGAGAAAGAGAGAGCACAAGCAGGGGGAGGGGCAGGGAGAGGGAGAAGCAGACTCCCTGCTGAGCAAGGAGCCCGATGCGGGACTCGATCCCAGGACCCTGGGATCATGACCTGAGCTGAAGGCAGACGCTTAACCAACTGAGCCACCCAGGTGCCCCAACAATAAAAATTTTTAGAAAGTAATGTCTAAGGGTATAGAAAAAATAAAACATTTGTTCAAGAAAATATACTAAATTTCAGTAAAGCCAGGAAATTTCTGTGGCGTTTGAGCTACCATATTCTGTTCTCTCCCACCCCCAGCTCCCAGCCAAGGGCTACAGCATCTCTCCGGGAAAGACAGGCTGCCAGTAGTTCTCAGTCTCCCAGCTTTGTATAGCCGAGGCTAAATTCCAGGAGAGCTGGAGGCTCACTTCCTCTGCTCTGCACCCATTCATTTCTACCCCGGCTTCAGGAAGCCAAGAATACTGGGGCCTCAGTTCTCAGTGCATCTTGCTCATAGGGCAGAGGTTTTATGCCAGGAGAGGCAAGCTGACAAAACCAGAGTCAACTGTCCCTGCCCAGTCCCCTGTTCACAAAGCAGGAGTGTCATTCCAAGAGAAGGGCCACTGTGCCCAAACCCAGCTACAGAGCAGTGGCTCAGAAATTTTGCCCAAGGGAAGAAGCAGGCCATCAGAACATTGAGCTCTAAAACCCTCCCCAAAGGAAATGACTTTATTTGGAACAGAGCGTGGAGAAATTCAAGCATGAGAGCACTCTTGGAAATAGTGGGAGATTTGTTGAGAAGGCCAGTGTTATGCAGAGAGGAAAAAAAAAGACATCATAAGAAAACTAAAAATCTGTATGAATATCGATATAAAAATCTTCAACAAAATGCTACCAGCCTGAATCCCATCAATACAGAAAAAGGACTGTACATCATGACTAAGTGCAATTTATCCCAGGCATGCAGTGTTGGTTTAGTATTTGAAAATCAGGTAATGTAATATACCATACCAATAGAATAAAGGACAAAAATCAGTCATCCTTTGTTAAAAACACTCAACAAGTTAGGAATGGAAACAAACTTCTTTAGCCTAATTATGAGCATCTGTGAAAACCCACAGTTGACATCATAATTAATGGTGAAAGACTGAATACTTTATCCCTAAGTACAGGAACAAGACAAGGATGTCTTTTTTTCCTGTTTGTTCAGCATTGTGCTGGAAGTTCTTACAGTAGTGCAATTAGGCAAGAAAATAAGACATCCAAATTGGAAAGGAGGAAGTAAAACTGTATTTGTAGATTATGTGATCTAACAGATAAAAATTCCAAGGAGAACACACACTATATGGAACTAATAACTTCAGCAAAATTGCAGTATATTGGATGGAGGGGATCAGGTAACTGGTGATGCGCATTAAGGAGGGCATGTGATGTGATGAGCACTGGGTGTTATATGCAACTAATGAGTCATCGAACACTACACCAAAAACTAATGATGTACTATATGTTGGCTAATTGAATGAAAATGAAATTAACTATTTCCGTATACTTTCAATGAATAATCCAAAAATAATATAATTCCATTTACAATAGCATTAAAAAGAATAAAATAGAGGGGTGCCTGGGTGGCTCAGTTGGTTGAGCTCTTGATTTCTGCAGCTCAGATCATGATCTCAGGGTTCTGGGATCAGCCCCACATGCGGCTCGATGCTCAGCGGGGAGTCTGTTTGAGGATTTCTCTCCCTCTCCCTTTGCCCCTCCCCCGCTTGCATATTCTGTCTCTAAAATAAAATCTTAAAAAAATAAAATAGGAATAAATAAAGCAGAAGGACAAAGCTAGAGAAGACCTAAATAAATGGTAAGAAATTCCATGTTTATAGATTGGAAGATTTAATATTAAGATGGCAGTGCAGTATTTCCAGATTGAGCTACAGATCCAACACAATCTCTACCAAAAATCAGGGTGGCTTTTTTTATAGAAATTGACAATCCTATCCTAAAACTCATATGGATAAGGGACCCAGAATAGCCCAATCTTGAAAAAGAACAAAGTTGTAATAAAGAAAGTGGGATATTGGGGTACCTGGGTGGCTTAGTTGGTTAAATGTCCGACTCTTGATTTTGGCTCAGGTCATCTCACAGTCCTGAGATTGAGCCCAACATCGGGGTCTGCACTGGAGTGTGGAGCCTGCTTGGGATTATCTCCCCTCTCCCTCTGCCCCTCCCTGCTGGCACTTTCTCTTTCTCTTTAAAAAAAAAAAAAAAGAAAAGAAAGTGGGATACTGGCATAGGGAGATTACTATCTATCTTATCTATCTATCTGTCTATCTATGTCAATAGAATAGAGCTGAGTTTCCAGAAATAAACTCTCATATGTATAGTCATGTGTCTTTCAACAAGAGTGCCAAGACCATTCAGTGGATAAAGAATAGTGTTTTTAATAAATGGTGCTGGGACAACTGGAGCATCATGCAAAAAAACAAAAAAACCCCGAAGTTGGAGCACCTCCTCATATTATACATAAAAATGAACTCAAAATGGATCATAGATCTAAATGTAAAAGCAAAAGAACTCTTAGAAGAAAACATAGTAAACATTCCTGACCTTGTATAGGACAGACCTTCTTAGATACAACACCACCAAAAGCACAAGTGAGAAAAGAAAAAGTAGATAAATTGGACTTAATCAAAATAAAAACTTCTGTGCTGAAAAATAAACCATCAAAAAAAAAAAAACACGTTAACGCATAGAAGGGGGGAAAGATATGTGCAAATAATAAAACTTAAAAAAGATTTATACTCAAAATGTATAAAGAACTCTTACGACTCAGCAATAAAAAGACAACCCATTTAAGAAATGGGCAAAGGATCTGTTTTAGTCCATTCTGGCTGCTATAACAAAATACCACAGACTGGGTAGCTTATTAACAACAGAAGTGTATTTCTCACAGTTCTGCAGGCTGGAAGTCCAAGATCATGGTGCCAGCATGGCAGTTCGGGGCCCTCTTCCAGGTTGCAGACTTCTCATTATATCCTTTCATATAGCAGAAGGGATGAGGGAACTCTGGTAACCCGTCCCCCCTCCTTTTTTTAACAGGCACTAACCCATTTATGAGGACTCTGCCCAACCAAGAGTTGGATGCTTAACTGACTGAGCCACCCAGGCGCTCCGATTTTGTGTATTTTTAAAGTTAGCATGATTAAATCCCAATATAGACTCAAGCACTTTTGTAATTTATGAAATCTATATAAATATTTCTTAATTCTGGAATTACCCTTGTATCAATTAGGATTATACTCTGCTATATTTAATAGCAAATAACAGAAGCTTAAACAGGTAAAGATTATTCTTTCACATAAATAAGTTATGAAATAGACACTCCAGGACTGGGAGGCACCTCCTGTCATCAGCGACCCAGGCTCCTGGTGTTGTGTCTCACTTTTCCATCAGTTGCTTCATGGTGGTAACAAGATTGCTGCTAGAGTACAAGCTATCACATCCCAGCCTGAAGAAGGAACCCCTGTGTTCAGGGAAAAAGCAAAGGGACAGGACTTTACTATCCAAAGAAAGCAGGAAAAATAATTTTTAGCTGGTCACACTGACACATAATTTTACTGGTAAGGGGGAGGCGATGTTGAATAAAAGACTAAAAATGCTACAACTCTGGGGAAAAAACTTTTTTTTTTTTTTTTAATAATTAGAGTATTCTTACTGTGTTCTTATTATTAGATTCTGAAAAGAAATTGTCTCTCCTATCAGAGGAACAAGAAGCCACAAGCACTTTAGTAGAAACCATCAGGCAGAGTATTCAACATAATGATGTTCTTAAACCCATCAATCTACTTTCACAGCTAATAAAGCCAGACATGAAAAGACAAAGGTAGGAATCCAGTTGTTGCTTCATGCCACTCAAGATAATTTCATGTTTAAGTATTATTTTAAAAATATCTCTAGTTGTAAATGTTCATAGTTGAGCAAACATTACAAAAGTTGTGTGTGGAGGAATAAATTTTAGGAAGTCATTCATTCATGTCTAAAATGTAGAGTCTTTGGGAAACATTACTGCTATTCACCGGAAATCTTCTATGAATTTGTTAGCAGTGACTTTATACATATGTACTGCTTGTTCAGGCCCTGTCATACCTGCACGTCTTATCTTTTATTTTCTTGTGGGACATTAAAAAAAACCTGTTTAGGAATAGAAACAATTTAGGAAAGCAATGGAAACAGTAAATTACAAAGGATATGGAGCTTTCCTGATCCTCTTACTATTGTCCGCCAACAGGCTTAGATCAGTACTCATCCCAGTCTCAATATAAGTGAATTTTGCAGGGGAGACTTCAGAAAAGGTGGCATAATAAATGCTACCAAATACTAACAGTTTCCAGATCCTCTACAAGTTTCTTTGGTCATGGCATCTTTGAAGATAACCTCAGAAGTGGTAGAGCGTGAACTGATAATGAAAATGAATGGATCCTTTTGTAATCTCAACAGTTGAGATACAGATGACCTTCACAGTCTAAAGAGCAGCTAGTTTCAAGCATCTGTAGTTTAAATAAAGCAAGGAAGGAAAATGAGAGATGATATGTTACGACTTCTGAAGCTTCTAAACAAAGCTACATATGAAGCATTATCAGAATTAGCATTACTAATTTTTTTTCTATGTTAAGTACTCGGAAATCAGTTCTTTAGCTTTCCTTCATTTTTAACTGAGCTATGAAGCTCATTTTTAAGGTTTAATTTGTGAAACTTTCATGTTCACAAACCAAATATAGTTTATCCTTTATCATTGGATTAAATAGTAAAGAGACCACACTTTTCAGTGTCCAAGGGTTTTAGACCCCTAACTTACTTAAAAATTAATCTGAGAGGAGACTCTGCTTTTGCAAATTTTAATTGCAAAGTAGAGTTAAAACAGTTACCTATTATAGTTGACCTTTGAATGACCCCCCCATGCAATTGATAATCTGTGTATAATTTTTGACTACCCCGAAACTTAATAGCTGTTGACCAGAAGTCCTAACAATAACAAATAGCTAACACATTTTGTATGTTGTATTATATAACGGATTCTTACAATAAAGTTACTAGAGAAAATACCTTTACAGTACTCGCTGTATTGGGGGAAAAAACCCAACACACAGGTGGACCCATGAAATTCAATCCCATGTTGTCCAAGGTCAACTGTATTTATATTGTTAAAATGTTATAAAAGTTAAAATAAGCCATTTAAAGTAGTTTTTAGTGTTTAGTCTTATGTCCATAACTTTTTCATTTGAAATAGCAATCCAAAGTTGCAAAGAGTAGCACAGAATTCACCATACTTTTCACCCAACTTCCCCTAAAGGTGACTTCTAACTGTAGTGTTATATCAAAACCACGACACGGACACGGATACATTACTGTTAACTATAAAATGTAATCATTTTTCACCATTTTACAAAACCTTCATGTGTGTATTTTTATGCTCTGTGCCCATTAACTTTAAAAACATTTGTTTTATAGGAGTTTATACCGAGAAATCCTCTTCTTATCATTAGTATCTCTTGGAAGAGAGAATATTGATATTGGTAAGTTGGTTACTTAAGTATTACTAAAGGAGGTTCTTTCATTTTCTGAAGTAATTTACAAAGTTGTAATTGGCATGCTGCCCTTACCTTTCCAAGGATTTCTACTTTTAAATACAGTTTATAGATATATATGAAATTACCATTTTTCAGCCTATGACTTTTTAACAAATTGTAACTGCATTTTTGAAAATGTCTTTCAGAGGCTTTTGACAATGAATATGGACTTGCATACAATAATCTATCTTCAGAGATTCTTGAAAAGTTGCAGAAAATTGATGCTCCACCAAGTATCAGTATGGAATGGTGCAGGAAGTGTTTTGGAGCGCCTCTCATTTAAGTAAGATGTTCACTAGATTTTTGACAAAGCTTGAGGGAATAGATTCATTTGGCAAACATTGAAGGTTTGTTCCAAATGCTAACAATTGATGAAAGGGAAATGAAGTTAACTCTTGGGACAGTATGTAATGAAATGTAATTCATATGGAATCATCTCACAAAGTAAAAATGTCATAAAAATGCCCCAGGGTTAATATCTGAAGGTTTGCAACTTCTGAGTGGTTCATCTGCCTCTGCTTGAGAACTGTTTTAGGATTTCTCATTATATGTAGTTTGATAATGCGAAACTATATTCATTCTTGGCATTTTGTTTATATTTGAAGTTGTTGGTCTTGGGGAATAGCAGTTTAATGTAAACTTGCCTAACCCCAAAACAAATGAAATCTCAATTTTATAAGGGCAACTATTTGTGTATGTGTGTATATATGTGTGGCTGTGTAGGTATTTGTATGTACAGCCATATGATATTTATTAAAATTCTTAGACTGCGTGTTGCAATACAATTTTCTGAAAGGGGTCTGCAACTATTAAATGACTACAACTAAACTCAGCTGTAGTCATTAATCAAAATTACCTTAAAGTCTGATGACAGCCTTGCCTGTATTTCTTCATCCATATTACGTATTCTCTTCCTTAGTGGATTTTATCTTGAATATCCAAGATACTTTCATCCTCTTCCCAAATACCGTGTTAATTTGCAACAGCTTTAAGATTGGAAATAAATGAGCCAATCATATAGTTTAAATGAAATTAAATCACCCTCATAATTTACAAAATTGGAACATGCTTAAAATGCTCATGTTGATTTTTTTGTACCTGAAATTGTTCAGGTACATAAACTGTTGCTATTGGTCACTTTTAAAAACCTGTGGGATAAACTTGCACTGCATACAGAAATTTTATTCTTATATATTTAATTTGTATGCTTATTATTTGTGCATTTGTAAATAGTTTTTTAGGATGGATCAATTAAGTCTTAAAATGTTAAAAGCTTCTTGAGCTTCTTGCCAGTAGGTTCAAGAAAGTCATGACCTCACATGCCTGCCATTTATCATGCCTTTCCATTAAAAACAGCCCTTATGAACAGTTAAGTTTGCCTTAACTCTCTCCAAGGTTTAAAAAACCAATGGTTATGTGTACTTTTACAGTAATTATGCAGATGACTAAAACAGTTGATAAAAATATTTCCAGGTGGTACAGTTAACAGCCCAAATCTCCCACCTGGTGTAATCTTTTAAAAATTGTTACTGTACCAGTCTTTCAACATTTCAGGGCTAATCTAATCTATGCAGATTTCATTTCAATTTATTATGAAATTAGAGTGAAAGAACTTGTCAGAAATTATGTACAACTCTCATTACCTTAAAAATGGATCATTTGCACTATCTCAGAGTATATATTTTTGCAGCTTAATACTTGGTACTTAACACTTATTTCCCCAACAAAGTTTGGAATTACCTTGCATAAAAGCTTGAGGATGAATAAAATGCAAAATTCTTAAGTTTGCTGTGCTTGTCTCTGTCACATCTTTAAGGCTCCTGAAACGTGTACAATTCTATTTTAGAGTTCCCATATTGTTTTTCCACTTCTCGGTAGTCTTAACTTGAACTAAATTACTTACCAGAGCACTTCCTGTTAGTAAGTGTAACGAAGATCTCCTTACTCATTTAAGATTTGGCTATACTGTACTAAAATATACAATTTCTAGTAACTTTTTATAACATCTCAGCCATTATACATTGGAAACCTTAGCCTGCTTTCATTTAGAAATAGGGGCTGTTTTGTGTTTAAAGTGCATAAAGGCCTTTTCTAGCACCTACCACAGAAAGGGGACCACTAAAAATTTACTGCGAACAAAACTGTAAGGCCAGATATGCAGTCATTATCCATACGTTTAGAAAGGTCTGGAGTGACTCATAGCAATGTATGAAACTTAAAAGCCTGAGAACTTCTGCAATCTTTCAAATTAGTCCAGATATTTAGCATTACCTTATACTAGTTTTGGATTTGATAGTCTGATTTGATTTTGGCTGCATTTTGTAGATTATAGCAACCTATGTGGTTAAGACTGTTATAACTATGCAAGCATAATAAAAGCGTAAATGAATCCTTTAATTGTGGGAGAGTCAATTGTTGCTCTTAACTTCATTCTTAGTACAAACTAGTAATGCAGGATTAAACATTCTTACTATTGAAATACTCTCCAGCATTCCCCCTTTTGAAAAGTAGTTCTCCATCTTAAATCTGCCAGAATTAACAAACTAGAACAGCCTAGCTCAGCCATTATCTGTCCACTTTAGTGACTGCACTCCTTGATACAAGCAAGCATGGTGGTGGTGCTCATTTTGTGTTAAAATCAACCAGGTACTGCTTAGTACAGTAACTCCGGCCTTTAAGTTACCCCTTGTGACTGCAGTGTTTATTCCTTTTTATTTTGCGTTATCACTTAAAAATTTTCCCTTTATGCTTTTTTAGTTCAATCTTAATTTATATAACACCAATTGCCAATTAGTTTTTCACGTTCTGTAACTTTTTAATACCATGTATTAAGAGTAACATGGATCTCCCTTTTGTCTAAGAAATCTTCTCAGCTAGTCTAGTCCAGGGACTGGCATTATTGACATTACCTGGAAAGTTACTAGTAATGTAGATTCTGGGGCCGCAAATCTTCTGAATCACAATCTACATTTTGGTCAGATCCGCACGTGATTGATAAGCAAAACTTTAAGTGCAAGCACAGCTTCAGTCTCTATGTTAAAGCAGTTGAAAATTTTACTCACCTGTGGTTAAAACATACACTCCAGCAAATAAGGAACTCCAGTTCTTCACCCTTAAAGCCTAATGTGCCTTTTTAAGAGCCTTCTAGTCTGTAAAGGTTAGTTCTAACTGCAGTTACTATAGAAACTAGACAGGCTACATTAGAAAACAGTGTATTTTCTCTTTGTGCATCCTTCATCAATCCAAGTGTTTCTTAAAGGCACAGTGTGAAACCATAAAATGCACGAGTAACAATTCACTAGAGTTGAAAAGCTTTTGTTAATAAAATTTGCACTGGTTTTGAAAGCTTTGTGAACGGTTTTAAGATGTTATCTGTTAACTATGCTTTTAACAAGGTATCTTTTTTACATGTGACAAATGTCCATCTTAAGGGCACTTTTCATATATTGTGTATGGATGTTTAAAACTGTATTCCTCAAAATAAAGTGTACGAAAAAATAGTCCTAGTCCTTTTATTTCCCCCAAATTGTTCCATGCCTTGCTGAAAAAGCAATAGGTACCTTATGCACAAAATCCTTTCCTGAGCCATTCACCCATCTCAAAAAGAAATTCCGTATTGGCCATCTGTCCCACTGTTACAGTATGGTCTCAGCCTCTCACCTTGAAAGTATCACTTTCAAGTATCTCTAGAACACTTTATACACCATATTGCTATATACGATATTCCCTTATCTCAGTTTTCTCTCCATTTATCTATGTTTTGTCATCAATGAAAAGTCAATAAAGGGGATTTGATGTCTGATCTTATTTATTTGTCACTCATAGAAAATCTCATTTTTGACTGGACTCAGACTTAGAGGTAGAAGCTCTCAGAGAGGACAGCCTCCGTCTCTTGGCAATCTGTTCCTGGCGTTTTTCTTTGGCCTCCTAAACAAAACAAAAAAGCAGTTATAGATTGTCTGGCTTAAAAATCCAAAGTCAGGCCTGATTTCCCACCCCCAGTCTTCTTGACTTACCTTCATTCTCTTGGCCAAAAGTTTAGCGTATTCTGCAGCCTCTTCCTTATTTTTCTTAGTGCGCTGCTTCTTCAAAGCAATACGCCGCCGTTTGTGCTGGAGGACACGTGGGGTAACAAGACGCTGAATCTTAGGCGCTTTGGTTCTAGGTTT